CCATCCTTAAAGTCTGATTTGTAGGCATCGTTTGTGATATGGTCATGGAGATTGGGTGCTCTGTCACAGCTTCATGATCATGTTTTTCTGAAGTTACTCACTCCTCTTCTGTCTCAGTCTCCAGATCTAGTGTGTCCTGGGTTTTTTCTAGACAAACCTCTCAAGGGAGCATACTTTACATGTATGCTTATTCTCTTTGGCTCTTGTTTGAATTCTTCCTCCCTACTTAAAGAACATTGTGCCAAGCTTCTCTGTATAAAAAATATGAAAGGAAAAAATGTAGTAAAGGAGAAGATGCTAATAATAAACAGGTATTTCTCTTCATTAGTTACCGCTTGGCTGCTTTGTAATGCTGCTGATTTCTTGCACAGCCATGTAAATGAGTTTGGTCACCTAGCAACAGAGGCTGGAACTGATGCCAGCTGTGATGTAATAGTAAGAACCTGTGGTTAAAACAAAGGGAGTTTGATGTTGTGTTGCATTATAATCTTAGCTTTCATTTTTTTTTTACTACATATGATCAAAATCTAAACAATCTCAGTGGTATCACGTGGAAAATCAGAATGATATAAGGGATTAGCTCAGGCAAATATACACATTTAGTATTCTACACATTTATTTTCCAAGACTCAAGTTGCAGGGCTCCAGTGTGGTTAGAAATATTCCTACTGTAAGGGGTGTGTGATTTTTTTTTTTGTCTTTTTCTTAGTTCAAGACAGGGATATGAGCTCTGTACCTGTGGCTGCTTTCGCTCGTTGGCTAGTGTTCTATCAACTGAGCCACCCCTCCAACTCTACCCTGGATTCTTTTTTTTTTTTTTTGACTGGTTCCTAGGGCTTGAACTCAAACTGGGAATTGTCCTTGAGTTTCTTTTTGCTCAAGGCTAACACTACCATTTGAGCCACACCTCTACTTCTGGATTTTTCTGTGATTAATTAGAGATAAGAGAATCTCACGGACTTTTCTGCCTTGCCTGGCTTCAAACTGCAATCCTCAGATCCCAGCCACCTGAGTAGCTAGCATTGCAGGCATGAGACACCAGTGCTGCTGCTTTATCTTATCCATATAGTAGTGACCATAGTAAGTGGGCATCCTTGTAAAAGTTTTTAATCAAACCCAGAGGATATTGTTTAAGTAATTAGACACATTAATGATTTTTAGGTGTTCAGAGTTTACTCTGGGCTTTTATATACTAAGGAAATTAAAAGGAATTTTTTTCTTCGATACTAACTGTGGCAGGTATAAAAATTCTGATACGTGTTTCTAGATAAAATTGTTTTAGGAAGCATATCTTTCAAAGTTGTTCTTTCCTACAGAATAGGTACCTGAAAAGTTTGTTGGAGTTTGATGAGATTAAAGGGATACGTATCAAATGAATAAATAGAAACCCAAAGGATTTTTGGGGGAAATACAAGTTAAATTGGTGAGAGACATATCTTAATTGGTCTTAGTGATTTTGTAGCGTGCACATAACTCATTTAGAGACAGATTCCTGAGTTTATAATAAGTTGTGTTATCTTCAGATAGCCATTCTCTTATTATTTAAAAGTTGCCTTTTTTGGGTGCAAATATGAGAGAGTCCATCACCTTCAGGGGCAGAAGAGAAACAAAGTACCATAGGAAGCATAGAGATGTAATAACTTGCTTAGAATGTACTGATGAACTACTACAAAATTAGATGTCAGGCAGAAGCTGATAACAGAAATGAAACTGAGACTTTATACAAGCATTTCTGATTCTTTGGTATACAGGGAATAATCATGTATTCAGTATGTGCATGAACACTATTTTAGCTTTTAGATACTTTGTAATGTTTGCATTGTTTTAAGGTAAACCCTAGGGCAAGAAAGATTATCTGTAACAGGAAGATAAATAAAAATCATGACTCTGGGCTAGAGATGGGATTCAAGTAGTAGAATACTTGCCTAACAAGCTCAAAGTCCTGAATATACAGTATGGCCAAAATAGATCCTCTGGCAAATTCTTTTATCTAAATGATTCTAAATCTTGATGTGTTTAATGTAGGCCGTTAGCTAAAAACAGCGGAGAGCTGCTCCTCCTCCTCCCCTTCCTCTTTTTCCTCCTCCTCCTCCTCTTTTTCTTCCTCTTCCTCCTCCTCCCCCCTTCTTTTTAAGTAGTCTTATAAATTCCACAAGTTAGGTTATGTCATCTCTCTTCCATCGTTCTTAATCAATGTCATTTCTTCCATTGTTCATTTTTCCTCCTCTCATCCCTAATCTTAAATTATGTAGCTCAACTTTTACATAATGTATGTTGAATATAATGATTGCATTTGCTAACCCTTCCTTCCTCCATTTGTGTTTCTCCTCATCCCTCCCCCAAACAAACAAATATGTTTCTACCTCCTGGTAGATAGCTCTTTTGGGGGGCACTGGTCCTAGGGTTTGAACTCAGTGCCTGGATACTGTCCCTTCGCTTTTTTGTTCAAAGCTACCACTTGGGTCACAGCTCTACTTCCAGCTGTTTCGTGGTTAATTTAAGAAAGAGTCTCATGGACTTTCCTGCCTATAGCTGGCTTCAAACTATGACCCTCATCTCTCAGCCTTCTGTGTAGCTAGGATTACAGGTGTGAGTTAACAACACCCAACTCTTTATTAGGAAGAAAAATGTGCTTAATTTTGGAGGACTACTCCTGGAGTTTGTAAATAGTAGGTTACTTGTGATTGCTGTTGCAGGTTAATTACTACCTGTTCTTGAATGCTCTATAAATAATCTCATATTTCTTAAAGTATATTTAAGCAAGGGTTACTAGGATTGTAATTTTGGTTATATTTAAATGATCTTGTCTAATTGAGTTTATATGCTTTCAGAAAATTAAGTGCTATGCTAGCAGTTTATTAAGGGATAATGCCTATAAAAAATAAAAGACAGAGCAAATTGGCCAGAGAAGACTTTCAGACTATGATATAGGTGTATGATTTCTCCTCCGGCATTTTTTTTTTTTTTTTTTTGGCCAGTGGTACTGGGATTTGAACTTAAGGCTTCACACTTGCTAGCAGGTGCTCTACTACTAGAGCCATGTCCCCAGCCCTCCTCCTCCAATCTTGATATTTCAGCTTTCCTTGTATCATTTTCTTTTGAAGGAAGAACTAATTTAGGAATTCTCTTTAACCAAATCTGCCAGTAATAAATCCTCCATCTAAGAATGTCTTTATTTCATCTTTGTTTTGGCCATTCTAGAGTTTGAACCTAGGGACTCTCTTGTTGGGCAAGCACTCTGCCACACCCCTTATCTGTTTGCCTTTTTAGTTTTTTTTTGTTGTTGTTGTTTTGTAGGTTTTTAGGTTGTTGTTGTTGTTGGTTGTAGGTCTTGACCTCTGGGCCTGGGTGTTGGCCCTCAGCTCTTTCGCTCAAGGCAAGCACTCTGCCACTTGAGCCACAGAATCACTCCCGGTTTTCTAGTGGTTAATTGGAGATAAGAGTCTCTCAGACTTTCCTTCCTGGTTTTGAACTGTGATCCTCAGACCTCAGCCTCCTGAGTAGCTAGGATTATAGGCGTCTTCCTATATTTTTTAGGTAGGGTCTCCTGTTCATGCCTGGGCATGGCTTCTCACCAGAATCTTATATACCGCCTTCTGTGTAACTAGGGCCATAGGCATGCACCACTATGCCCAGTTTATTGGTTGAGCTAGGATCTCACCAACTTTTTGTCCAGATTTGCCCCAAACCATGTTCCTCCAAATCTCTTCCTTCTGATTAGCTGAAATTATAAGTAGGAAGGTGTAGAATTTTGGCAATACTGTTCTTTTCCTTTGGTACTTGGAAAAATGTTCTACATGTTTATGGACCCCGTCGTTTCTGATGAGAAATCTGCATTCCCTGGAATCATACTACCCCTGTTTTTGTTTGCCATTAGTTTCCAGAAATTTGATTTGAGGTGTTTTCTGTACTGCACGTTTTCCTCTCCATTGGTTCTCTTTGGAGAGGATGTTTGTTCTCCAGTTTTTTGGGCTCTGTTAATTTCTTAATATTTTTTTCTATTCAGATTGGATAATTTCCATTGGTCTTCATTAGCTTCTTGCATTCCTGCTTTCATTCTGATTTTGAGTCTATCCAGTGAGTTCTATAGTTCATGATTCCAGCACCTGTATCATTTTCATTATACCCCGAACATGTTGACTATTATGCTGTACTACTCTGGGTCTGGGTCTTGTTTAAATTCTGTATAGAATGTTGTTTTTTTTTTTTTTTTCACTTTTTTTCTTCCTCCTCCCCCCTTCCAGCCCTCCTCCTGTTCCTCCTCTTCTTCCTCTTCCTCTACCTTCTTCTTCCTCCTTTTTTATTTTAGTAGGCAGTTGACCTGGTTGGATGCAGGCTATAAGTATGAGCCATCTTTTCTGGGTTATAGTTTTAGTGTCAATTTCAAATTTATCTCGTATGCCCAAGACAAATCCAGTTACCAGAATGCCTTAGTTTCCTATTAATAGTTTATAGTATGTTGTTTACTGTCAGACCCATGCCTATATGGCTTAAGGATTAGCTTTTGCCCCAGGAGACCATGAACTGCTTTCTTCATTATCAGACTGTCATTGTGGTCCAGCTCTCTGACCTCATCACCCAGTGCTGTCGCCAGTCTCAGTACCATGGTTGTTGGGATGGGCTATGGATTATTTAGCAAGTCTATGTTAATGGATATGTTTTATAGCCTTTCCCCCCATGATTTTACAGGGCATTACTGCATACTTAATAAAAATAATGCTACAGTATAATGCTTAGTTTATTTATCTGGTTTCAGTTTTATGGAAATCAGTGTTAAATCTATATTATTTTCTAAAGTACTGCGTTCTCGCAGTAATCCACAAAATAGCACTTACTAGAATGAAGCAATGTAAAAATTCCTTTCTGTTATATTCTGTAAGTAATGAGAATTGGGTACTTTCTGGGGATGAATCAGTAAAATGTTAACCATTCTGAATTCTATTAGATGAGGCTAAAAAATAATCTAGTCATGATCTCCACCCTGCCTTCCTTTTTTCCAGAATTTTGATTCTGACATTAGCAGTGTAGGAATAGATGGCTGCTGGCAGGCAGACAGCCAAAGGCTTCTCAATGAGGTGATGGTGGAACACTTCTTTCGACAAGGCATGCTGGATGTGGCCGAGGAGCTCTGCCAGGTAACCCTACCAACTGGGAGATGTGAGAAAGAAACAGTGGAATCCTTGGAGCTTGCATTGTTTTCATGGGGCTTTGAATCTCCTGTTAGCTACAGATAGATGCTTAATATTTTAATTAACAAGGATGACTTCATTATACCAGAAACATTTTTTCAGTTGTTAAAAAATTATAGTCCTAAAACTTAAGCAGTGAAAATTGCAGTCATAAGACTCTACTGAATTTGTTCTTTTCTTTCTTATTTTTTTTGCCCAAAACGTTGGTCCAAGGTCATGAATCCAGGGAATCAAAAGTGATACTATCTCTCTTTCCTCTTTCGATAGAAAAGTTCATAATATAGCAGAGAAGAGGAAAAGGACAAAAAGCATTGTTTTTATTGGATTTTCTGTTTAAGAAAATCACTTAAAGCCCTAATCTAAGCATTTAGTATTTTAAACAATTTCAATCAACGATAATTTGGATCTTTCTTTGTACCTTTTGGGATTCTGTGGGTGCTCATATAAATCTTGCACTGAATTATACTCTTACGGATCAAGTTTGTTTTCAAGTAAAGACACACAAAGTTTTTCTTGCATAGAAATAGAGTAGTAAGAAAGATCCAGTGTATGTAATAGTTCTACAGCATGAGCTTTGAGGGACCTGTACTACTTGTGGCTCTGCTGTTACTAAGGTGGCCTAGGATAACAGTCTGACCTCCAGCTACAACTTTGTGTCTAGGAAGGGGCAAGAGTACATGCTTACAAAGCCATACATCTTGAAAAGCCATATCAGCTTTACTCCATAGGCATGCATGCTGTGAAAGTTTGGAGAGAAGAATCATGGTGGAAGCTTCATCAATTTCCACCATAGAAATGCATGTTAAAAGGAAATGATCTTTGGTGTTTTGACTCATATTTTATAATCTAGAATACACATTTAGAACATTGTGCCTCCACTCTGATTGCTGCTAACAGTTTTTTTTCTTTTTCCTTCAGGAATCTGGTCTTTCTGTAGACCCAAGTCAAAAAGAACCATTTGTGGAGTTAAATCGAATATTAGAAGCATTAAAAGTCAGAGTTCTGAGACCTGCTCTAGAGTGAGTTACTGAGCTTTTCTTTTGGATACTTTGAAAGAACTCTGTAAACAAATCTGTATGTGAACAAAATTAAAAATCCATTAAAGATGCTTAGCTCTATCTTACCTGGGATAGACTTCAGAGAAATCAAGGGAGAATTGTTTTTATTCCTTTTGGCCAAGTGAAATGTGGAATGTGCAATATGAGAAAATGGTTAGGGCCTATTTAGCTTATCAGTTGGTCTAAATTGCCATGAGAAAAAGGTTTCCTGTCTCCATGCTATACCACCACTTTGTGTGGACAAGAGACAGGACTGAACCACTGTTGTTCAAGTGCTCTTAGTTTGATATTTGAGCTTCCATATTGTGCTGGGTTCAGTGCTGTCATTCTAAGGAGTGATTTAATGAATGGTTGGAACAAGTAGTGTGTATGAAGAGAGCACATATTGTATAAATGAGCTCTCTTCTGTATGAGTGCATGCACTTGCAGTGCTAGAGTTTGAACCGAGGGCCTTGTACATTCTAGGCAAGTAAAGGAACTCTGGTCTTAATTACTATAGGTTTTGATGATTCCCTGTGAACTTAGCATCGTAATGAATTACCTGAAATTACTGAATATTCTAGAGCAGGATGGGCACACATTTTAATAGAAAACCAAAGTAATATTTTAGGAATTTTCAGTCTACATAAGGAATCATTCTATGTTTTATTTTACAACCCTTTAAAAATGTAAAAAAATGAAAACTTATTTTTTGCTATCTGTCATATAAAACTGGCAGCTATATTTGGCCTATGACATAGTTTGCTGAAGATTACAAGAATATTGTTAATAAATAACTTGTAAAAAATAAATAAAAGCTGGATGCTGGTGGCTCATGCCTGTAATTAATCTTAGCTACTCAGAGAGCTAAAGCTCTGGGTTTAAAGCCAGCCTAGAGAAAAGTCTGTAAGACTCTTTATTTCCAACTAACCACTGGCAAAACATCAGAAGTGGAAGTGTGGCTCCAGTGACAGAATGCCAGCCTTGAGTAAAAATGTTAAGGGAAGCTGAGTACCAGTGGTTCATGCCTATAATCCTAGCTATTCAGGAAGTTAAGATCTAAGGATCATGGTTTGAAGTCAGCCTGGGCAGAAAAGTCCCCATGAGACTCTTACTATAATAAACCACTCAAAAACTGGAAGTAGTGCTGTGGCTCAGGAGGTAGAGCACTAGCCTTCAGCACAAAGAGGCTCAGAGATAGCATCTAGTCCCTGAGTGCAAGCCCCACAACTGACCAAAAAAAAAAAAAAAGCCAAGGGAGAGCTTGAAGCTTGAGGTCCTTAGTTTTAAACCCCAGTACTGGCACAAAAACAGCAACAACAAAAAACACAAAACCCCACAACTTATAAAAAGAGAAGAAACTGGGTGTGGGTGTCTCATGCCTATAATCATAGTTACTCAGGAGGCTGAGATCTGAGGATCATGGTTTGAAGTCAGCCTAGGCAGGAATCTGTGTGAGACTCTTTTCCCAGTAAACTACTCAGATAAAGCTGGAAGTGATGCTGTGGCTCAAGTGGTATAGTGCTAGCATTGAGTACAAAGAGTCAAACCCCAGGACTGGCAAAAAGAGAGAGGAGGGGAGGGGAGGGGAGAGAGAGAAAGATGAGAAAGCAGTACTGGTTTATGTGGTTTACTGGTTTATGTATATTATGTACATGTCTATTCCATCACAAATGGTTACATGCTATGCATACTGTCCTGCGTCTTACTCTTTTAACTTGAAATGTTGAATACTTATTCCTGTGTCAGAACATATAAACTTCCTCAGTTCGAATGGCTTAAATAATAAAGTTTTGTAGTGGCTATTTCATATGGGGGTTTGTATCCTAGTTTTACTTAACCATTCCTTGCTGGTAGACATTTGGTCATTTTGGGTCTTTTGCTTTATAAACACTGCAGCAGTGACTAATGATTGAACATCTTCTTGATTGTAGCCAAATATATCTGAGTACTGGATCAAGGTTCATTTGAAATGGATTGATTTTTGTCGAAGTTGTCTCTATCAAGTTTGCTCTAAAGTATAGTTCTACCGTAAATATCAAGAGTGATTTTCTTAAATCTTTGCAAGTTAGATAGGTGGGTATTGTGGGGAGAATATCCTCTCATATTCAGTGTACATTTATCTGCACTAACTGTGCTCATACCTTCACTCTGGCAACGGTCTATACCTCTTGCCTAGGGCAATAGTCTTTGACTTTGAGAGCTATCTTTAAGACCTATGGATCGCGAGTGAGATAGGTAACCATTTTTGGCTACCAAATACCATGGTGATCAGTGGTCCTAAAGCGAAGAAAATACTTCTCTGACTTGAGAGCAGTTGTAGCAAATTGTAACATTAATGAATAAAATATACTTTATTAGTGGGAAACAGTTGTGGAACATGAATATGGAAAGTAAGCAGATAGATATGTCTGATCTTAGAGCTCGATTGTCACTGGAAACTGAAGGTGACAATGTTGAAGTTTTGGTTAGTTTTTTAGTTGTAGGTTCTTATAGGTGGGCAGTATTTCTCCTTTTCTGTTTTCTTTTTCTTATTTGTAGATTCTCAGAGGTGGGCAGCATTCCTGCTTCGGAGCCTATTTTGTTTGTGGGCAGGAGTGGAATGCAGGTTCTGGGGAGTGAATTTAGGGCCTTGAGGTTGTTAGGCAGGCACTCTACCACTTGAGCCACACTGCCAACCCTTTTGCTTTTGTAGATAAGATGTTGCTCTTTTCCTAGGTTCTCCAGGACCACAACCTTCTATTTGTATCTATTGCATAGCTGGCATGACAGGCACATACCACAATACCCAGCACTTTGATTGGTTGAAATTGCTTCTCATTAGCTTTTTTTGGGCTGGGGCTGGACTCATATGACTATTCTCCCCATCTCAGTCTCCTGAATAACTACAGTTAGAGATAGGAGCCACTGCTTCTGGCTCAGGCATTTCTCTGTAGCCTCAGACCCATATAGGAAACATGACTGTCATGCAGGAGTGGCCAGTGGATCACTCAAGACTTGAACTCCCCCCCCCCCATTCCCTCATAAATTGGTCTTAATTCAGAAAAGGCAGAAGAGGATTGATTTTGTTGTTGTTGTTGTTTTATGCTGCTTTTGTGCCAGTCCTGGAGCTTGAACTCTAGGCCAAGGCACTGTCCTTGAGGTTTTTTTCTCAGGGGTAGCACTTTTCCACTTCAGGCACAATTCCACTTTTGCTTTTCTGGAGGTTAATTGGAGATAAAAGAGTCTTCCAGACTTTCCTGTCCAGGCTAGCTTTGAACTGAGATACTCAGCCTCCTTAGTAGCAAGGGTTTTGGGCTTACATTACCAGCAACTAGCCAGCTGATCCATTTTTTTTTTACTCTTTTTTTTTTTATTGTAAAGATGCTATACAGAGGGTTACAGTTACATGAATGAGGTAATGAGTACACTTCCTCTTGAACATTGTTACCCCCTCCATTGTTTTCCCCCTACCATCCCTTCCCTCCCTACCTTCCCCGAGGTTTTTTTTTTTTTTTATTGTGATTAAGTGATTACATAACTTCTGGAATTTCACAGTATTATGGAATAATGATGCTCATTTAAAGTCACAAGTTCATTCTAACTTTCCTGGAGCAAATTGTCTATCACAGTCTATAACATATAATGGTGTTCACATGTTATACACCACAGCTGATCTGTTTTTAACTCATCCTGTCTGTTTGATGGAGAATGTGTCTCCTTATTAAAGAGAAGCTAACTAAAAATTCAAAATGATGCTCAGTGGACTGGGGAAGGGTGACACTGTCCAAAAAGAAATGTACTCATTACCTGATTTATGCAACTGTAACTCCTCTGTACATCACCTTTACAATAACAACTAAAAAATAAAAATTAAAAAAATGCTCAGTGGAAAGGATTCCAAAGACAACATAGTAGAATAGATATTAGAAAAAGAAGGATTGTGATTGCACCATTTTCCATTGTCTGTTTTACATTTACTGCTGGTGGACGTCTGTAGAAAGCTCCAAGACCATAGATACTCCTCATTTTCTGAATATCTGCTTACTAAGTTCTTGAGTTGGGTTAGAACTGAGCAAGCATAACTTATAACTAGAAAATTGGGAATAGGGCTGGGAATGTGGCTTAGTGGTAGAGCGCTTGCCTAGCATGCATGAAGCCCTGGGTTGGATTCCTCAGTACCACATAAACAGAAAAAGCCAGAAGTGTCACTGTGGCTCAAGTGGAAGAATGGTAGCCTTGAGTGGAAGAAGCTCATGGATAGTGCCCAAGCCATGAATTCAAGTCCCAGGACTGGCAAAAAAACAAAACAAAACAATACAAACAAAATGATATAAATTGTCCCTGAGGTTAAGAGCACAAGGAGCTCGCCTATCTAAAAGGCTAAGCACATATAGAGAGAAAGAGGAGAGACACTGAAGTCTGTGAAGAAAAATGCTGCTCTGGTATTCACTGAGCTAAAATCCCTTGCTTTTGTGGTAGGAAACTAGTTGTAAATAAAGTAACTTCTTTTTTTCTTCTTTTTTTTTTTGTGCGTTTTTAATAGTAAAAATGCTGTACAGAGGGGTTACAGTTACATGAGTAAGGTAATGAGTACATTTCCTATTGAGCAATGTTGCCCCCTGCTTTGTTTTTCCCCAGCCAACCCTTCCTTCCCCACCTTCCTAAACACACACACACACACACACACACACACACACACACACACACACACACACATCTTTAAGTACTTCTCAAAAATCATTAATTTATACAGCTGAGTTTTCTAGTATAGTGACCATTTGGCATATGTAGCTAGATCTCTGCTTTGCTGAGAACTTCATGTTTGTGTTAAATACATGCAAATGTGTAACTTGTTTGCTTTTTTATAAAAGAGAAGCCAGGTACCGGTGGCTCATGCCTGTAATCCTAGCTACTCAGGAGGCTGAGATCTGAGGATCATGGTTCAAAGCCAGCCTGGGCAGGGAAGTCCATGAGACTCTTATCTCCAATAAACCACCAGA